ACAACAACACTAAAAAAAAAAATCCTAATTCACCCTTATGAGAAGAGAGACAGTAATAGATTAATTGTTTTTAGTCCATGGGCCAAGATAGCCTTATGAGAGCTATGTAGCTGATAAATTAAGTAGTCCAGGTTTCTTAAGTGGTATGAGTTGTCAAATAGGAAATGTCATTAGCTGAGTAAATCAAAAGCCATTTCACTTGAAAATATGAATGTTAAGATGGCAGAGCTACTAGTAACCATACTTGCCTGTTCCCAAAACTTTCAAAGATAAAACCATCTTTATGAACTGTCTTTTTCACTACCTATTTACAATAAGGGAAAAAAATCCACTGTTGACTCAAGATAAAAGGGGCACAAAACTTATAAGTTCCCTGCTTCAGGCTAATAGCAAAAATATTTTTCATATTTAGTTCACCTCTGTTGCAAGATTCCCTTGACAAAAATACTTCAGAACTAAATTTTACAGATGAGAAAAGCCTTCTCTTCAGCTTGTGTGTGTGTGTGTGTGTGTGTGTGTGTTTGTGTATGTGTGTAAGAATCAAATTCGGGAAAAAGAAGACCTAAGTATAAATTGAACCTAAAATATATATGCTTTCAGTGGTGATATTTTTCATATACTGGAACAATTTATATTTTAAATATGTATTATAAACCAATACATGAATCGTATGACACCTTATACCTATGGACCCAATATAAAAATAGCTTTAGATTTATTTCTAATCATGGCACTGAACAGCTTCTGTTGTTCAGGCTTAAGATAAGTGATTTATTCAAATGGTACCTTTCTATGTAAAACTGATTGCAATAAAACAGAAAAGAGTCATAGCTAACATTTACATGGTGCTTTAATGTGGAGTTTGTGTGTGTGTGTGTGTGTGTGTGTGTGTGTGTGTGTGTATGTGTAATCATCATGGAATGTAGTGAGAGTTCTCCTTTACTGGAAGTGTTCAAGCAAAGGGTGGATGACCACCTTCATAAAAGATACTGTAGGGGTGATCTATTCATTAGTTAGGGATTGAAGCAGATCCTGAAACTCCTAAGATCCCCTCTATCCTGAAAGTCAATGATTTTCTTAATTTGTCATTCCGGCTGATCTAGTCCATAAGTTCATGAATGTATTTGGATGTTTCTACTAGGGTATTTCCTCTTATCTCATCCAGCTCCATTAAGCTATTTCTTTTCCCCAAGGCTATAGGAACAGGCTCCAAAAATAAAAGCTATAGCATTTAAGAAGTACTTGAATTTGCAAACATCTCCCCAGCAACTACAAAGCCATCGCAGAAATATTCCTTAATAATCGTGGCCCAAATAAGAATAATAATAAATATATATATATGCATATATTTAATTCAATTTGGACCTCACAACAACCTTGTGAGTTAGGTGTTATTCCCATTTTGCAGATGAAGAAACTGATGGTAAGAGAGTTTAATTGACTTGCTCAGGATCACACAGCTAATGAGTGTCTGAAGCAGGATTCAAATTCAGGTCTTCCTGATTCCAATTCTACCACCCCATTCGTAATGCCAGCTGGACCTATCTGTTTCGACAACAATTTTTCCACTCTGATAAAACTAAGAAATAAAGTGGATTATACCCAAGAAAAGAAGGTAATCCAAAATTTTTCTAAATCTCCACTTTCCATCAAGATTTCCTTTTTTTTTTTGTTTCTGATCTGACTATAAAACTAAACAAAGAAAATGTTTGTTTTTTTAGTTCAGTAGTCATTGCCCTTCTTATTTCTTCTCTTTTCCATTTTACTTTCATTCTTTCACCACTAGAAATGAATCCTATTGGCTGCTCTTCTTAGTTTCCATAGACCTTAAACCTTATTAGAAGGTCAATATTGGAGCCATCTTTGCCTTAAAATACAGCATTGTAAATATAATATAAAGATACTTTGAGTCAAACTAGTTCAAGGATTAGTTGTTACTAATTTAATCTTTTTCTATCATTTAAGACTCATTTCCACTGAAAATAAAATAAACTGAGATGAGATTTACAGGTAATTTCAATGACTATTTCTACTTAAAGTGGGCATTATAAATTCATAAACATGACAACTGATTTAATCTGCCACTCGTACTTTATATTGAGGCTGCTATACGATTTTAGCACAATATAATTTATATTGATTGTTGTGTTTCCATTTGCTTTGAACTTTTTGCTCATTTGATTACAATGATTCTAACAGCCCAAGCCATTCTGATTGGTATGGCTGGTAGTGCTTTATATTCTACCATGAAACTGGTAAAATAATCACTCATTTGATGAATTGTTAGAAAATTAATCTAAATCTCAAGATGTGTAATCAGTCTCGAGCATTTTGAATAGATTTAAAATAATGGCAATGAAAATACTGACCCTCAGTTCTTTTCTTAGGTTCAATTAGCATGGCTCATCAGAATCCTCCAATTCAATTACTGTATATTTTGTCTAGACATGAGATAGAGGACATGCACATGCTTAATTAAAAAGCACCTATACTGGTATGTTTTATTTATGTGGCCATAAGGTAGTGTAGTGGATAGGGTGCTAGACTTGGAGTCAGGAAGACTTGTTTTTGGGTCCTGCCTCAGTCACTTCCTGGTTATTTGACCTTGGGCAAGGCACAGCAATCTGGCACATCCTAGAAAGAACTCAAATACAATTCTAGGAAAGGATTTAGGTCTATTATCCAAAAGTCAGACGAGCTGAACTCTGAGAGACTCATCACCAGAGCAATGGCCACCCGGGGATGATCTGGGGTTAGGAGGATTAGGTGCAGAAAAACTCACAAATGTATCTATTAAATTACTGCTCTTCTCTCAGCCTCAGTTTACTCATCTGTAAAACGGGGATAATAATAACACCTACCTTACAGGGTTGTTGTGAGGATTAAATGAGATATTTGTAAAGTGTTTTACAAATCTTAAAGAACTATATAAATGTTATAAATTTGCTGTTGTTGTTATGAAGATACATTTATATCTGTTCTAGGCATATTTCCAGGTATAAGTATTTTAGATCTAGAACTATCAAAAATATAAAAAGAATACATCTGGGTGAAACAGGCTTTTACATATATGCAAACAGCTGGCATATGGACAATAAACTTAAGCAGATTAATAATATGGACCAATCTTGCAACCAGGAACAACTGGCATAAATACCACTTCTGACACATACTAATTATATGACCATGAGCAAGAAATCTCACCCATTACTGTTCCATACAACTACAATGGCTTATTTTCAGTGGAAATGAGTCTTAAATGATAGAAAAAAGATTAAATTAGTAACAACTAATCCTTGAACTAGTTTGACTAAAAGTTATCTTTACATTACATTTACAATACTATATTTTAAGATGGCTCCAATATTGACCCTCTAATAGGACTTAAGGTCTATTATAAACTAATACAATTCTTACTCAGAAGCACCTTACACTTTCCAAGTCCCCAGTCCATATCTGCATTGATGAAGTTTCTACACTGGAAACTTCCTGCACTAATAAAAACATGGGCAAGTTCAAACCAAAAGAAAAAGATAAATAAATAAATAGATAGATAGATAGATAGATAGATAAATAGATGAATAAATAAATAGATTAATGTGATATGGTGGAACTGGGAATTCTGACTAATCCCAATAATCATTTCCTATTATATATTTAAATACCTGGCACTGTTTATTTTTTGCCTCAAGTACAATAGTTTAATTTAAATATAAAGATTTACAAGGATTACAGTAAAATAAAAGGGCCAGTCATTCCTAAAATGTACATATTGTTCATACTCTAAGACAATGTAATTTATATCTGATTCTTATACATCAACAGCTATTTTGATCAATGAGTCTTATTTTCCCATACATATGGAAAAAATCATCAATAAAAAAACATTTTTCAAATTAAAGCTTCCTATTAAACTACTTATACATTTTACATTAATTCATGAGATCTTAGATTTGTGTCTAATGACAATCAAGAAATCCTCCCTTCAACAATAAAGCAAAATGCAGCTTGAAAACAGAATCCAGAAGATAATCCATTTCCAAAAGTAAATAATGTATTCTTCTAAATTGATTTACTGGCAGGACAACTGATATTTCTATCCATTTTCAGAAATCAATGAATAACCTTCCTTTATAGAAATGTAGTGTGTAACCAAATATAATATTGGTGAAAACAGAGACCAAAATTTCACTAATAGCTAAAAAACAATCCAAAAGCCTATGGGTGATCCTGTTCCTACTACACTAAATAAAACTTCATTGAGTAAACTGTTTCCTTTAAAATGTTTTCAGTCACTGCTATATATGAATTCTTGAGTTCATACATCTCCCCCAAGTAAATTGTTTCCCTTTCTAGCCAATAGGATTAGAAAGAAAAAATACTCCGGTCAAAAAAATGTTGGATGGAACACTGCTATGGGCATAAGGCTTTTATTACAGGAATGGGGAGAAAATTGGCTTCTGAAGCTCAGCAGCCTCAGTGGTGCTCTCTCAGTAGACATCTTTATTAGAAGAAAGTTGGGAAACTTGTATGAAAATGGCAATGGCAAAACTGGGTCAATAACCAAAGCATTTTTTCCTATGTATATTTCTGATGAATTCTAAGATCAAGTTGTGGTAAGGAATGGAGAGGAGAGATTTATATACACTCCAGAAAGTATAGAAATGATGAATCAGCAGCTAGAGGGGAAGGGCCTGAGGACATCATATCTACCCCCAAACCCCTAATGTACTTCACCAAAAATCTCATAAATAACGATGTGTGTGTGTTTGTGTGTGTGTGTGTGTGTGTATATATATACACATATATATACACATATATATCTATATACCTATATATGTATATATGCTTATTATTTGAAATTGTCAAGAAAACAATTCTTGGTATCTCCAGCAACCTGGTTCAACACTTTTCAAGAAGAATCTGCTATGATGGGCATCATCCACATCAGCATTAAAAGTATTTAATTTAGTGATGTGTCTCGATCAGTCTTCCATAAACTACTGTTTTGCTTGAAGACTTTTTTGTGACAATGTCTAAAGAATAAAAATAACAGTAATTAGAAATATAGAAAATTTAAAAATTGACCCAGGGTGGGGAACCTGCGGCCTCAAGGCCACACGTGGCCTTCTAGGTCCTCAAGGGCGGCCCTTTGACTGAATCCAAACTTCACAGAACAAATCCCCCTAATAAAAGGATTTGTTGTGTAAACTTAGACTCAGTCAAAACACTGTACCCAAAGACCTAGAAGGCCACATGTGACCTAAAGGCCACAAGTCCCTACCCCTGGCCTAGATATTAGCAGACTACTTCTGAATTTTTTGTTTGTAGATTTTTATGCACAAACACAAACTAGGTCTTCTGCACTATTGAAATAGTTTTTAAAAGAAAAAAACTGCAGGGGAAGCTAGGTGGTGCAGTGGATAGAACTCCAGCCTTGGAGTCAGGAGGACCTGGGTTCAAATCCGGCCTCAGATACTTGACACTTAGTAGCTGTGTGACCCTGGGCAAGTCACCTAACCCCAACTGCCTCATCAAAAAGCAAAAAAAAAAATACAGAAAATACACTTAAAGAGAAAATATAATGAGTTAAATTAAACTTTTTAAAAATGAATCAAAGCTAAATGATATATAAAAATTCTAGGATGGCAAAAAACTTCATTCATTTCACAGCTGGCAAAAGTCAGAGGTTAAAAGCAATCCAAATATGTTCCCACATAACCTGAAGATAAGGAGTTTTCAAAAATAGAATCTACAACTTTCTGATGTAATAAAAAGAAATTTTTCACTGTTTCAAGTTCAGATATCATAAAAGTATAATTTATGCCTATCAAAAACAAAAAGCTTTTAAGCATTATGATAGTTAAATGGTTTCAGCACATTAATCCTCTAATAACAGATATTCAGTCAAAAAGAAATGTTGCAAGGTGAAATTTGAAGTTTAAAAAAACTGGTTTTTAACATGTGCTTTCTTCTCTTATAATGGTACCTTGATTTACACAGCACCTAAATTCCACAGAGCTCAAAACATTTCACGGATTTACTCTGCCCATAAATTTTTTTTCCTGGTAGAAGCAGATCCAGATGTTTCTGTTAAATTTGCATCTGATAGAATTCAGATTCTTTTGGTGAGGTAAAACAAAACAAAACAAAACAAAAAAACTAACATATCAAGATCCCAATTTATTTGTCTATTTATAGGACCCCAAAAGACTTATTTTCATCTCTAATGTAAATCCATTTGAGGAGAAACATTCTAACTGCATTGGGCTGCATTAGGTAGAGCACTAACCTCTCAAATTGCTCTTACCTTCTGAAAAATATCATTAGTTAATCAGAGGAAAAGCCTCTAAGAATTTATAATGGGGGGTTGAGAATTAAGTCCTCTCCTACCCTCTATGACAGGAGTGACCAATAAAGAATGTTTTTTTCCCCCAATGCAGTTTTTTCAGGTATATTCTGTACTCCCTTGAATGTTTGAAATTTTACAGAGAAAGTCCTTTTCTTTTTCCTTTTGACCTTGAATATATTTCATGTACCTTGTACTGAAAATCTGTACTAGCCCTAAATAATCTGCTTCAGCTGAAAAGAGAGTATATCTTTTTTTTTTTTTTTTGGCAAGGCAACTGGGGTTAAATGACTTGCCCAGAGTCACACAGCTAGTGAATGTTATGTATCTGAGGCCGCATTTGAATTCAGGTCTTTCTGATTCTAGGGCCAGTGTTCTATCCACTGCACCACCTAGCTGCCCCACGAGTATATCTTAAAAATAAGTAATATCTACTTTAAAATCTCATACCAATAAAATCATAGCTACCATTTACAAAAATTTTAAGGTGGTGTTGTTGAGTTGTTTCAGTCAAGTTCAATTTTTCATGACCCCATTTGGGGTTTTCTTGGCAGAGATATTGGAGAGGTTTGCCATTTCCTTCAGTTCATTTTATAGATGAGGAACTGAAGTAAACAGAGTTAAGTGACTTGCCTAGGGTCACATAGTTAGGAAGTGTCTGAAGTCACATTTAAACTCAGTTCCTCTTGACCCCAGGCCCAGTGTTCTATCCACTGTGCCCACACACCCCTTCATAAACATTATCTTATTCAATCCTCATAACAGCCCTAAGAGGCAGGGACTACAAGTATCATTGCTCTTCTTTTACATAATAATAACTATCATTTATATAGCACCTACTCTGTGCTAGGCTCTGTGTTAAGGGCTTTACAATTATTATTTCACTTGATCTTCAAAGCAACCCTGGTAGATAAGTATGATTATCATCCCTATTTTACAGATGAGGAAACTGAGGCAGACAAAATCTAAGTGACACAACTCATAAGCTTTCAGAGACACCATTTAACCCTCAGTCTCTCCTGGCTCTAAGTTTTATACTCTTTCGACCATAGCATAGGCATTGCTATTAAATAAATGATATGAAGGAGAAAGTTATATGAAAGCAGAGACTTTTTTTATACCTTAGCAAAGTTTGTTAACTTACATATAGAAAGGACCTTATTACAAGTAAATCCCAAGGCATGGATTCTAAAGACAACATAGTGAGATTCAATTGTAATAATAATGATAATGATAATAATAATAATAATTGCTATATATAGCATCTCTTTGCATAGACTGATGAAATGCTTTCCTCATAGCAACTCTATGACTCAATCAGTCATCAAGCATTTTTAGAGGACCTACTATGTTCTAGGTAGATACTGTGCTGAAGTAGAGACCACAAATATTAATGGTCTTCATTTTAAAAGAGGAATTTGAAGCTTAAAGACTTTGTACAAAGTCACAAAATTATTAAGGACTGAAAGCAAGATTTGTATCTGGGCCTTCGGAAACCAAGATCTAATGTTCTTTCCATGATACCATTCTAATTATAAACCTATTTAAAATGTGCTAGTTTCTCATTTCCCCCAAGAAAATTTCCATACCTTCTGGATTGTTTACTAACTGCTCCTCAAATTTAACACTCCTTCTCCTGCCTCCACGAAATCTCACAAGCCATCCCATGGCCTACAATCCACTCCTTCCTGATTTCTGCCTTTCGGAATCTTTACCCTTGTTCAAAGCTTAATTTAACTGCTGCCTCATGAAACCTTCCCCTTTAATGCCTGTGATTAGTCTTTTCACCCTCCCCATATTGTACTCCCCACTCCACAGGAGAACGTAAACTCCTTGACATTTAGGCTTGTTTTATTTTTATTTTTGTATCCTCAGAATCTGGCAAGGTACCTATGAAATGTATAATGAAAGTCTATTAAACGGAAGTGAACTGAAAGACCCTACTGTAGTCCGAAATGAGACCTCCTTAGCATGATAGGAGTTTGAGCTGGACAGGCCTTAAGAGATCATCTAGTCAGCCCCCTAACTTATACTATTCACATGCTAATGAAGCACATATTACCTTGTGCCAACTTTATCATTATCATCATTATTATTATTATTATTATTATTATTATTATTATTATTTAATTCTCATGCTGGTATTTTAATGTGTTGGGCATTTCTGTTACTTCTAGTCTTTTCTATCTAATTAGAATGAAAGCTTTTTGAAGGCAGGAATCATGTCTTTATACTCTGCTATTTCTCCTTCCCCCTATTGCATATTAAGGAAAACGATGATTGAACAATTACGGATAATATCAAGGTATATGATCAGTAGCTTTCAGAATTTGTTTTAGTCTGCCCAAAATTTAAAAATAAGGAGAAACTCTAAGAAATACCACATTTTAAAATATCACAGTAGCATATGGAAAATAGCATGTACAATATGATGTGCAGAGCTCATAAGAAAAAAAGTTAGATTAACATACATATATATTAAAAATGCTCCTTAACTTAAAAAAAAAAAACCTCTTTGCTCCAAATCCTCTAATGTCTAATTTTTTTCACAGATATTCAAATAATTATCTCCTTCTGTCTATAATTTCTTTTGTGGAATGATGACAAACCAGATTACCCTAAAGTTATTTAGCTTGAAACAGATGTGAGATGTATGTGTGTGTGTGTGTGTGTGTGTGTGTGTGTGTGTGTGTGTATACAGTCATATGATTAGGTCAAATAACACTACACACAAATGAAATCATTAGTAAAATGGCTTACCAATTCCAAAAATTCTATTTCTGATCGGAGAGCTTCATAAACACTTTCCATGTCTTCTTCCTCATAAAGTTCTAATTCTTTTTTAAGTCTGTTATAAAAGAAAAAAAAAGTATCAGTATGGCATACGACACTCTGTTCAAATAACTATTTCCTAAATTGAGATAGACAGACTTGTAGTTCCTATAATCAGAATTGTGAAGTTAAGACTGGATGATTTGGAAAGAATATGTGTTCAAAGCTCTGGAAGAAATATTTGATACTTTAATAAAATATATTTCTCTTGAGAAAATAGAAAAGTGAATAAATAATAGATGTTTAATAATCCTAGAACCATAAAGGAGGAAAGCATGGTTCAGTTTACTGAAACTCGGTACTGAACTGAGTCAAGAGACCTGAATTCTGTTACTAGCAAGAATAAGGTTTATATATAGGGCTTTCAGGTTCATAAAGCCCTTCCCTCACAATCACCTTGTGCAGGTATACATATCCTCATTTTAAGGATAAGTATACTGAGGCTAAGAGAGATGAAATGAACTCTGTTACTGTCACAATGGCAAAGCCAACTGACATTTGTATGATGTTGGAAAAGTCTTTTCATTTCTTTTGGCCTTGGTGTCCTCCTCTGTAAGGATATATAAGGCAAATTCTCCATCTCTTAAAAAAAATTAAAAGGTCCCTATCAGTTTTCAACTTCTACAACGCAAATTATAATTTCTGAACACGCTGCTATACATCTGGAGATATACTTGTCAAATAATGACAGTTGAATTTCAATGAGATCAATTAAGCTTAATGATATCTCTTTGCCCTGATTAAGTCTATTTTCCTCTCTGATTCCAATATTATTTTCTTATTTTCTTTATAAAAAAGTATGTGCTGTGTGTAATTTTAGCCCTGAAAAATAGTAACAAGAATCATCAGATTTACAACAGGGAAGGGAGAAAATTACCCTCATGTATCTGAAATGTATTGTGTTCTGAACCTGAAGAACTCTTGAAAAATAAATAGAAATTCTGAAGCACAGCTTATAAGAAAAGGATATAAGAAGTTATTAATTTTGTGTAGCAGAAAGCTGCAATCAGGACTGTGGGATATATTTTAATGAATAAATGGGAAAACAAAATCAAAGGCAACCGAGCTTTACAAGTATATTGGCAGATTCAGAAGAGAACACAAAGTAAATGTATTTTTTTTTAAATTTTGTCAAAATGTACATTATAATATTTTCCTACTAAATAAAAATGTAAATATCTCTAATTCTAAGATTTCAGTAGGAGAATTATCCCAAACTAGTTCTATTTATCTATTAGTATTTTGTGTGACTTAAAAAATAAAACTTTTTAAAAGAGCCCAAGGAAGAGAATTAATTTAGGCTGTATAAAGGAAGATTCAATTTCATACTGCCATACTTAGATACTTTCATTTTGCTTCATTTTTATTTATTTTTAAATAAAATAGAATCAGTCCCCTACCTATTGTACCATTCACCACGAATACATCTTCCTGTGAGTTCTTTCTTGTCCCTCATAACACCAATGCTGATCAACCTTCCCCTCCCCCCAACTCCCTTTTTAAAGTTGGCTAATAATAACAGAACAAGAGGGTACCAAAATTAAGGAGGAGGATATTTAAAGCAAATTAAAGGAAATATTTTTAATACAGCATACAATCAAGCTATAGAATTCATTCTTACATTGAAAGGTCTGTTGTTAGATTTAAAAGAGGAAGCAATGATAATGCTATGAATATTAATAACATTTGCAGCGAAAGAAAGCAGTATAATGGTAAGCAAACCTCATGCCCCAGTGGGTGGACTGATTGCCTGCAATTGTCACCTCCTCCCCTCATTTCACAGTAACTAAATGCAGTTACCTACTGTGTGTAAAGCACCATGATGGACACTAAGTATAAAGATTTAAAATAAAAATTAAAAAAACCTACAGTTGTTGCAGAAAGTTTACAATCTAATAGAGAGGAAGTCTAGTCTAACCTTCTAAATCATCAACTAATGGTCAGTGCCCTATTATACTTAGCCAACATTCAAAATTGATATAGTAATTCCATGGTTTTGTCTTTTTTTTGTTTGTCTGTTTTGTTTTATTTTGTTTTCCCTAATAACCATTCAAACACAGAATAGTTTCACTGAAAAGATACCTTCTCGTGAGTAAAGTTGAGCAAAATGACTATTCTTAAAATTAAAAGTTTTACCCTATCCTAAGTGTACAAATATTTTTAGAATATTCTTTGAAATACCAAATGCAGTTTTCTCAGTTTTCTAAAAGTTGGGCAACATTATTTCAGAGTTTGGGGGAGAGGCTGGCAAAATCACTAACATTCATTACAAGCATAACTTTTGTAGTAATCAGTTGATTCTACTATCAAATTTTTCCCCTTGTACTTATTTAGAAGCTCAGTAATTACAGTCTGTGCCAAGAATATTACACTCACAAAACAGGGGATGTCTGTTAGCTTAGAGGCTACACAATCAATGCTGTAAAGACGCCTCTGTTAGTGAATAAATGATGAACTTTTACCAGAAGGGATGCAGAGTCAACAGAAACATTCAACAAAATTCTGCAGCAAAGAATGGACCTGGAGTTGGAGAAGGAACTTTCTATGTTACTTATTTCAAAACAGGAAGAACTATCTCATTTGGATAAAATCATATGCTCAAAAATTTTTGGAAACACTATTTTGTAGAAAACTGAAGTATTTTCTTGTTAGCTATATGGACCTTTGATTTTATTTCCTCTAATGTCAAGATGCAAAGTGTAGACAGAATTTCCTAAAAATAATTTGTTTTTTAACAATCTCTATTCCTCTTTTTGGATAATAAGAAAGATCCATGTTAAAATACATATATGAAAATAACTAAATATCTACACATATAAAACATATTTAAAGAGATCCTGGAAAGTTTGAAAGTATTTTGGTATTATATAATTTTAATTATTTCATATCTTATATTCTTTTGTATAAATCTAATGATTGTCAATGTTATCTCTATGGCTATTTTTAGATGTATTTTTCACCAAAAATATGAAAGCAGTAATTTACCATATTGTATAAATACATTGTCTGTCACTGTAGAGAAGGTGCCAACCTACATTGGTAAAGTCCCCTCATCTTGATGTTTTCTACACCAGTGAAATTACAAGTCCTGTCTTTATCTGTATCCTCCTGCAAAGTGCTGGTAAATTTAATAATACCTTGCTCATTGCAAATATGGTATTGATTAAAACCCACTGTTTTCAGGTGTTCAAAACAAAGTGATCTCTCCTTCCTTTTAAGTCTCTTGCAGAATTTTGCTAGACCTTTCATTTGTCCTTATTATATATGTCTACCTTGTTCTTTCTCTCTCTCTCTCTCTGTCTCTCTTCTCTATCTCTGTCTCTCCTCTCTTTCTTTCTCCCATTTCTTCATCTTCCTTCTCTCTCTTCACCCCTTCTCCTCTGTCTCTATCTCCCTTCTCTCCCTTTCTTCCTCATTTTCTCTCTCTCTCTCTCTCTCTCTCTCTCTCTGTCTCATATTCTAGTCTCCCCCATTCCCATCGTGTTAATAGGCAAGTAAGTCTCTTTGCCCCTCTAAGCCTCACTTTTCTCAGCTATGTAATGGAGATACTATTTATATTATCTACCTCATAGGTTTGTTATGAGAAAAATAGTCTCTAAGTCTTAAAGAGAATATATGTGAATTATTATTACTGAACACTGCCCAAGGGCGAGGATTGCGTTGTTTTCCATCTTTGTGTCTTCACTATCCATCACAGGTTTGTTAACTAAATTATTGTTAAGTGGCTTAAAATCTGAAACCTTGCATCACTTCCACTTATATTAGAAAAAATACATCGAGATTATCTTCAGAACTTGAAAACTATTCTATCAAGAAGCTTGGTAGACAGGGAAAAGAATGAAGATAGTTAAAGTTGTTTCCTATACTGAGTGTCCATTACTTTATTTTTTGCCACAAATAAATGTTTTTGGTTTTGGTTTTTTCCCAAAAAGACTATGACCCAGAACACTTAGAATAAAGGGAATGCCACAGTAAAAGATAATAGAATATAGTTTTTCAAAGAGTTCAGATTTTTTTAAAAAATATATTTTTCATGGAAACTCAATTAGGCATATCATTTACTTTCATGCTGTTATTTGAAAAGCCATAGACATAGACACAATGAAAAAGATTAGAAAAATAATGGGAGAGAAGAATAAAAGCAATATCTCATACTTTTGTAAACATTTATAGTCTATAAAATGCTGACTATTCAATCAGTATATGTTTTCACTATTCTGTGGTCTGAGCTAGCCAAAACACTGATACTCAGCTCCCATTGAAAATAACGGCTCAATCCTGGCTCAGCCTCAGGATCGGGAACTTGATCCAAAGCCCTTGGGAAAAGGTAAAAAAAAAAACAACTCATTTATCCGTGGGATCTTGGGTTAGGCAACATTTTGGAAGCCCTGCCACTATACGTAGGACCATTAGGTGGCGTAGTGGATAGATCCGGGGTAGGAGGGAGGGGAGGGCCTGGAGTCTGGCAGACTCATCTTCCTAAATTCAAATCTGGCCTCATCTTCCTGAGTTCAAATCTGGCGTCAGACACTAGCTGTGTGACCCTGGCAAGTCATTTAATCCTGTTTGCCTCAGTTTCCTCATCTGTAAAATGAACTGAAGGTCATTACCACTCCAGTATCTTTGCCAGGAAAAACCCAAATGGGGTCACAGAGATGGATACAACTGAAAACAACCCCTATATATAACAATGTAGAGGAGAATTGACCTGACTTCTAGAATTTGGAATATAATGACACACCCGAGTGATAAACAACTACTACTCTGGGGATGAAACTAAAGGTTGCTTTGCTACTCCACCTGATAAGTCTATTATTCCACAGGGTTTGATATGGGAATCTTTTAGAAACAGAAAAGTTTCAAAATACTATCTTAAGATTTCTAAATATAGAAAAAAAAAAAGAAAATGTTCAAAGAGAGAACATCAAGTCTTTTTTGCCCCCAGACTTGTGATTTCATTAGGAACTCTTCTGCCCAGTACCTTCCTTTGCAACTGAAAGGCTTAGAGAGTTGCCTGGGGCACTGAGAAAGTTAAGTGATTTGCCCAGGTCCCACAGCCCAATTAGAATCACAGGTCTGATCTTAAGTCACGTCTCCCTGACTCCATGGCCAATTCTCTCACCACAAGGCATCCAATATAAATTACTGGCTATGTAGATGCACAGATGGCATAAAGATAAGTTTCAATAACTAACCCAAATAATGATAAAAAAAAACAAGGAAAAGCTACTAATTATAAGAGAATTTCAGTGATGGAAATGGAACAAATTATAAATCAGTGTGCTCTGATTATTACACACAAAGATAATCAGCCCAAAAGAAGAAATAATATTTCAAATGTTCTTTTACAATGAAGATTTAAGCTCTTTTTTGCCCAAGATTTAATAAGAATAATATCAGTAATGATAAAAATAATGCATTACAATTTATTTTTAAAATCCTTACTGCCAAGATTTAAACAATTAAGAATACGATAAAATGCATATACAACACACTAAGATATTTAGCACATCGTAAGAAGACATTTCTTCTAAAACGTTTAAATGAAATTAAATGTTTAAGTTAAATTTATTTGGGCCTTCGTGATTTCAGTTTATTAAATAACTGTCACATATGCTAGTTTGCAATCATCAGCCTCTGGTTACTGCACTAGCTATAAGATTGATGGTCCTTTTCCCTAAATCTTCATACTCAGTAACTTGGCTCTTCACACGGGCTATCTTTCGTGAAATTGACAAGGGAATTAAGTAAAGTTATACATACAGAAGAATAGAAAGTGGGAATAGATAAGTATCAGAGCATTCCATTTGCAATGAATGGAGTAGGGTGCATGGACCAATGATTCTTTCTATCCAAATTTCCTATGCTGCCATTTGTTAGAAAACAAGTGCTCCCTAACAGACTATGTATATGTTTAATTTTCGCCTAGAGCATATTTTTATGACTGAGTTATAAACCTCTGAAACTGGGGTTCATAATGGAAACCCTTACAATACCGACTGTAATGATGCTAGTGGGCACTGCCATAAAAAAAAAGTCTAAAACAATCAATGAGCAGATTGTCATTACAGAAACTCATTTTGCATCACACAGATCACTCAAGAGATTGATATTTTCTGCTTATAAAACTTAACATAAAATTAAATTGCAAGTATTTTCTCAAAACCACTAGAATGATGGCCTAAGGCAATACACTGTTAATATGAAGCATTTGTTCAGCTCTAGTGGACATATTTCCTGTATGATTTATGTGAAAGAAGGCTTCATTTGCTTCTTCATGGTTTTAGTAATGAGGTTTCTTTTTCTCATAATATGAAACCCAAGAAGCAAAGCTGGGTTTTTTTAAATTAATCCAGCAAATAAAAACTGAATTATTAAATAATGCAAGTCAAATTAATACATTTGGGGTTTTTTCCTGGAGCATATGACCATAAGAAATTTCAAACACATGCTATTCTTATGTAATAGGACTGGGCAAAAGGAACATCAAAATTCTAAACAGCAGAAACACTTTTTGATTCTTCATGCACATAGCAAAAATGATCAATTTTTAATAAAGTAGTGGATTTTTTTTTTCTGATTTTCTCCTGAAATGTAAGAAGGGACGAGAAATTTTAGCTATCTGGATGATTTTTTTAAACCAAAAGTTAAAAGCAGAAGACAGAATTGTTAACAATGAGACAAATTTTAATACCTTTCATTGTATCTAAGGTGAGAATTTAGAGATTGTCTAGTCTGACCTGACACCCCAATTTTTAGATAAGGAAACTGATGGCCAGAGTTTGGCAGAACTCAGAGTAAAAACTCAGTTCTGATTCTTAGTCAAATCTCTTCCTACTACTCTAAACTGCTTCTCAAGTGAATAGCACTGAATACACAATGATTTTAAAGAGGGAAACATTACATACAGAGACAAAAAATGTTTTAAAGTATTAATAACATATGTTCAAGCAGGTGTATGCTTTCACTGGTGTAAGGAACTCCCAAGTTCCGAAATTCCTCCCACCAATGCAGTTCAGCTTCTACAACTTTTAGTAATAGAGAGCTGCTTGGGGAAATGAGCTTGAGTGACTTGTGAACTGTCACAAATAATGAGTGTTCAAAGAAGAACTGAAAACAGGTTTTTCCGTCTGTCTCAAAGACTAGCTGTCTATCTAATATTCCACCCAATCTCTCAACAACATGATAAACTGTGAGATTTACATATAATATTTTTCAATTAGTTAAATATTAGAATATTATCCTGCTTTACAATTCTTTATCTGGAATTTAAGCTTAGAATTTTGCTCAAATATATTAGACAAAGTAAATATTTTATTTAAAGGTGATGATAACGTTCCATTTGTAACCCACACAGATGGGAAAAGGAGAAGATCCAACAAATGGCATCCCAACAATCCACCAGTGAGTGACATTTTGGAACTAGGACTCCTAGGAGTATTTTTGTGAAGATTTCTGGGAGGAAGACACTGGAAAGAAAGGAGCTGAGAGTTGGAGTTTGGAGTTCATTCTTCATCTTGGGGCCATGTGGACAGTCTGGGGTCAAGCACTGAGTTAGTGCTCCCCTGCTTCTCCCCTGCATGGAAAGACTGAGACAAGGGAACTACTGTGCTAGAAAGGATGATGGTTGGTGAGATAAGGCATCTAACACTTCAAAGACAATTTCGTTCTCTCCAAGTTGCAGAAGACAACTCCCATAAACTGAATGTGTCCTCTGCGTTCTTGCTCCACAAGAAAAGAAGGAGTCTCAAGCAGTAAAAGCTGAGGCTGGCAGCTATTATATCCATGATAAACCCTAACCTTAATTGCTTCCTTGTTCTCAGTTCTTTCCTCTTTATATAAAGAAGAACTGGAGGCTTGTTTTCATGTTTAATGTGAGCAGCTCTGATGTAGGTTTGAGGAAACGTACGAGTCTGTGTAGAAAGCAAGAGATGTCTCCAATTTCAGCTTCTAGTAAAGGGGTATAAAAAAGGCAATAGCTTCCCACCAGGGAATCACAAACACATACTTTGGAGGTACCTTTTGAAAACCAGGCCACATACCTCGCTGGGTCCCCTGCAAGGGAAAAACAGGAGAATAGAAATCTGATCCAGTGTTAGACCCTAGAATATCCACATGGCCTCAATGATGCAGGATAAAATCCTGACTCCAACTCTTGATTCCTTTCTTTCCAGCATCTTTCTCCCAGAAATCTTCACAAAGAATCCCTTAGAAGTCCCAATTCCAAAACATGGACTGGTAATGGTTCAACTGATGGACTCCATGGATGGTGCCTGTCATGGTGTCAAATCTCCATGGCAATGTAGAATATACAATTATAATAGGCCTTACCTTATACATTCAGGATCATTCTGAGGTTTTTCACTGATTCTGACTTTTTCTTCCTCTAAAAATTTGGTGGTACATATGGCTTCATTTACATTATTTTCAAAAACTGAAAAATAAAAATGACATGGTTATGACTAGCTTCTCCTTGTGACTATCAGCTACATGACCCGAGAAGTTACTTCTCTGGGTCTATCCTGGACTAGGAGATGAATGGATTGAAATATTTTCCCTTACAAATCTAAGATTATATGAATCTGCTAAGTATCACCTATATTCTCCTATACTTAGAATATTCTAATACTTTTTTGGTTTGAATGTACAAAATCATATAGTTGATTTTTTTTTTTAAAGCTCTACTTCAGGGACAGCTAAGTGGCGCAGTGGATAGAACACTGGCCCTGGAGTCAGGAGGACATGAGTTCAAACCCAGCCTCAGACATATAACACTCACTAGCTGTGTGACTCTGGGCAAGTCACTTAAACCCAATTGCCTCACCTTAAAAACAAAATAAAAAATAAAAAATAAAAGCTCTACTTCAAGCTCTTAACAAGATTTAATACAGAAATCATTTAACTCTTCCCCCTCCCAGCAAACACACATACACAGCACGCACATACAGAACCCCAACAACCAACTATAACAACATCAAACACCAAATTGTAAAACAAACTGTCTCTGAGTATTAAAAAAAAAACCACTATGTCTCAAGTGGTCAATATAGTGTTTTTGTTGTTGTTCAAAGAGTCTACAGATTTTCTTTCAATGTGACTTTGCAAAAAAGAAAAAAAAAGCATATAGTGGAAAAGCACTATAATAAAATTGGTTTATATACTTTTATCTTTCCTTTATAACCATATCAACATATAACCATTCCCATTAGAGTTTATTAGACCTAAAATTATTAAATATTGAGGTAATACCTTTAAGTTTTCTCTGAAGAACAAATAATTCCTGCATCAATTCATTCTTTTGTAGCTGAAGTTCATTTAACTGGACACTCTTATGTTCCATTGACTTTATTTCTGAGAAAACATTCATTTAATATAGCAATTATCATTACAGCTCTCTGTTATAGTCAATATTGGATTATCAGTGTAGTAAATTTTTAGACTTAAAGCTGCTTTTCCCCAGCTGTCCAATATGCTCCTAGGCCACTTTAATCAATCAGTGACGTGTACATGCTAGCATGTGCATCACAGTGCTGAAGTGGGAGTTCGCATTTTTATAGCCACTTAAAAATCTGCAAAATGCTTTACATACATAATCTCATTTGATTTTCCCAGCAACCTTCTAAAATACGTATTTGCATAGTTATTATTATCCCACTTTAGAGATGTGAAACAAACTTAAAGAAAGTGACTTGTTAATGGTAGTATCCTGTGATTAACCAGAAGAATATGCCTCCACTCACCCAGGTCTGACCCCTATTATGCAATAGGTATTAACTGCATCTAGTTCTAGTTAGAACTGGATGCTGAAACTCTTCCATAAGCTTGCCATTGTGACCCACTTATAATTTCAATTCCCCCCATCCTAAGGGTTTCTGTGCTCCATGTCCACTGTGGCACAGTTTGAACAGGCCTTCCTAGTTAATATTTAGAGAACTCTTTTGCTATTGGCCCATGTTCCTTTATCTGATTGCTCCACTGGTAACAAGGCAAGTCCTTTGTCTAAAAACCCAAACAAATGTGAGCTCCGAGCTGCTATGGGCCTTTGATTTGAGCACACACCTCACCACCCTTCAGGCCCCCACCATCCATGCTGCTCCAGGGCTACTAGGGATGAGGGAGGCTTACCACAACTCTATCCCTTAACTAAATCACTGCCCCTTTGTCCACACCTCTAACATCATGCTTGGTTGTAGGTATCAATAAATTGTTTTGACCTATCTTACTGTTGATGCATGCTAGTCATCCAAATTCCACTAGAAATTTTATCACGCCATGTTAGTTTTCCAATTGGTTCATGCATACTGAATCAAAAATATTTTAAATGAAAATCATGGGAAATATAATTGAAAAGTAAATCTGCTATAAAAATCAATCACATGACACATTTTAAAAGATTCCTGTCTTAGGTACCATGCAGATAACTTAAATCTTCTCTATTAAATATAAATATAATTATATGTTAATATACAAAGGAGAGGGGCAGATAGGTAACACAGTGGACAGAGTGCCAAGCCTGAAGCCAGGAAGACTCATCTTCGTGAGTTCAAATCTGGCCTGAGACACTTACTGAACTGTGTGACCCCAGGCAAGTCACTTAACCCTGTTTGCCTCAGATCCTCATCTGTAAAATGAATTGGAGAAGGAAATGGCAAACCACTCCAGTATCTTTGCCAAGAAAACCCCAAATGGGGTCACGAAGGGTCAGATACGACTGAAACAATTCAACAACAACAATGATCCAAAGGAGGTATGTTTTCAGTTAACAATCACAGAAAGTTTAGGCCCAGAATAACCTTATAAACTTAAAAGAGCAGAATAAATTAGACAAGGTTAGCTGACGTAAGCTATGTTTAGACAAATGATCTATAGAAATTAAACATGACTGTGACAGAAAGGCGTTTGGACTTAGATTCTTAAATATTTCCAGAACACAGAATGTATTTCATTTTCTTATTCCTAGTTATCAAAGATGGAAAGGAAAAATTCTAATCTCTGAATATGAGAATGGAAGTGAAAAAGAGAGAGTGCACAAAAAATTATAGCTATTCCTTATGAAATATTGTGAGAGATCAAAAGATGTACAAGAGGCCTTTCCCTCCATGAACTTAGAATCTAGTAATAAACATAGGCATATACAAATAACAACTTAAAAATAATATATGATAAGCACACAATAGCAAAAAATATGCTACTTAGTAGCATATAATAGGAGAAAGTCATTGATTCCAACTTTCTCATATTAAAGCTGAGGACCCTAATGGTTAAGAGACTTGTCTAAGAAAGAACAGACATTTATATAGCACCTACTATGTGCCAGGAATTGAGCTAAGTGCTTTACAAATATCATCTTGTCTGATTCTCACCACAACCATGGAAGGTATGTGCTGGTATTATTGCCATTTTACAGATGTGGAAACTGAGATAAACTATAGTTAAGTGACTTGCCCAGAATCACACAGCTAAATGTATCTGAGGTCACATTTGAACTCTGGTCTTCCTAACTCGAGGTCCAGATCTCCGTGCACTATGGTGCCAGCTAGCTGCCCTCAAGATTGCACAAATATTAAGCAGCAGAATTAAGATTTGACCCCTGATCCATCACTTTTTCTACGGCACCACGTTTCTTCCCACTATTGGTCACAATCTTTACCACTGGAGGGAGTACTTGCCTTGATGAGATTACATCTTTTCCAGATTAAAGTATCCATATTTCTTAATGTTTTATTTGTCGTATTTCAATTTCTCCAGTTGTCCCCCATACTCTTTGAAAATTGCTCACTCAGATCTGGATTTCTGGATTTCTTTAGGTAGTTTGAGGTAATTTCTCCTTATAATTGTACTGTTGGAGTTTACAATTTGTCTAGGCATATTGAAACATAGGTTCTATCTTGTTGAGGTTGGACAAATTCTTTCTAGTTATATTTTGGTTGCTTATTTTTTTCTAATTCTTGGAATTTTACTTTGATGATCTCCTAAAATATACTGTTCAAAATCCCTCTCCAAAGTTTTTTTTTCCTAGTATGTCAGAAATTCTGAGTGGAGTTGTATCATGACCTATTCTCTAAATTTGACATTTCAATCTACATAGCTTTTCAGTATTTGGATAATACTATGATTTTGTTATTCTGTGATTTTGTAATTTATATTTGTTTACAGCTGTTCTGCATTGTGGGTGATTTAATTTTCTGTTAAATATTCAATTAATTTAACATATATGTAATACTTTACTGAGCCCTACTGAATTCTCAAATTTGTGGTGAAAGTATCAAAATTTTAAAACTAGAATGGATCCTAGAAATTATGTATTTCTGGTTATATCTATAGTTTTTTTATTTTTTTCTATTGACCATTTTCTTCACCATTTCTTTCTAATTATTTCCAGCATCTTTTAATTCTTGCTTAAGCTCTTCCCAAGATTTCTTGTCATCTTTAAAAAGTTTTCTTTTATTTGGTCTCATAATTTTCTTTCCAATGCTAATTCTTACTTAATTTCATTATCCATCTGAGGATGTCTCTCAGGAGATCTTACATGGTTTCTCTTTCCACTTGAATTGCTTCTGGTAATTTAGCTGATTCAGTTTCTCTAAAGTATTTTTTAAATTATATCAACCTTTTTTTTTTATTTTGCTCATTTTTTTACTTTTAATTGATTTAAAATTTTTTCCTGAATGATTTTCCAGCCTGTTTTGTTCTCTCTAGTGTTTCCATTTATTGTTTTTAAAGCCAAGCTCCCTTAAATCCTCTCACTCTACCATCTTGACTGGAATATTAATAATTTTTAGAACAAAAAATATTGGAGAAAGATAAAACATAACTCTTTGAATAATTGCCATGAGTCCCAAAGATGCGCAACGTGTCCCCAAAGTCTTACTGTAGTTTTAAAGTATTATAACTTAAAACTATATTTAAAATTTCAGGATATCTGTGTGTAAATCCCCAGAATAATTTAAAGACCTGAATATAAGGACTACTGTAATGGAGTATCCTTCCCGATCAGGTCTTGGGGTTGGGGGGATGGAAGTGGTAGGGAAGCTGCGGAAGATGCATTCACCAACTTTCAGATATTTCTCATGATACTATAAACTACATTGTACCGCCAAGTGGCTCACCCGTTTCTCAGGAAAGGCGCAAAGGGTATATGCCCTTTCTCTTCAGTCTTTCTCATTTACCAGCCCCCCTCTTCCCCATCACTATGAATATATTTATTTTCCCAGTTAATCAAAGAGGAGAAGAAAGGGAATTATTCTCAGCATCAGGTAACTGCAAGCCTCTGAGTTATTTTGGTACAAAAATAATAGCAAATAGGATTATAAAATCCCAGATTTGGATCTAGAATGGATGTGAAGATGTGATGATACAGTCAGAGGAATACCGATCTAGGGCTGGAAAGATCTCAGAAGACGTCTTCTCCAATTTCCTCATCCTCCACTGAGAAAACAGAAGACCAGGGAGGTCGTTTCTTGTTCAATTTTACACAGATTAACACTGCAGAGGAGGCAGTAGAGCTGGGATTCAAAACGCTGATCCTCCAGCACAAAATTCAGCGCTCTTTCAGATGGTCTAAATGAAGCTAACAAGTCAAAGGATAGTAGTGGTGGTAGTAGTAGTAGTAGCTGTAGTAGTAGCTGTAGTAGTAGTAGTAGTAGTAGTAGTAGTAGTAGTAGCAGTTGTTGTGGTAGTAATAGCAGTAGTGGTGATAGTAATGGTAGTTGCTATTATAGTAGTAGTAGTAGAAATAGCTGGCATTTATAGAGTACTTTCAGGTTTGCAAAGTGCTTTACAAACATCATCATTTTATCTTTACAACAAGTCAGACAGGGAGATGCTATTTTTAATCTTCATTTTACAGATGAGGAAACTGAGACAGATGAAGGTTAAGGGACCTGCTTAGGGTCACACAGCTAATCAATATCTAGGGCCACATTTGAACTGAGGCCTTCCTGACTTTAGTTACAATACTCTACCCACCACACCACCTAGCCATCTTCTCTAATAACAGTGAAGCGAATTTGACAGCAATTCACCTGAGAAAGGGATGTCTTAGTCTTTCATTCAATAACTAATTTTGCAGAAAAAAAACATATTAAAATGTCTTGGAGGTCATACAGCTGTACATTTTTTATGAGAAAGAAGTAAATACCTCCAAAGCAAGTTCATATGAAGGATTTTTTTTTCTCAGAGAAATTAAGTTTCAGAGTGTAGTCCAAGGTCAGAATCCAATCAGGCCTATGCATTCTAGCAGAGTGTGAGATGATGTTCATATTATGGTCCTGAGTCTTTAAGATAAGTGAAAAAAAAAATCCTCCAGAGTCCTTCTCTCTCTTGACATTAAAATGTTTCTCATAATGCTTCTAGCTCAAATCTTGCCTCATACAGTCAGTTTATTAAAGCAGAGGAGTATATAATACTTTTAAAAAAGACTGATATTAAAAACAAATTACAAGTGGTGGTGTATAAAGGGTTAAACTTGAAACCTCTAGACATTTCACTGATCAGAAAGACCCTACTTCCTAGTGATACCCAGAAAACAAGGTATACCTACCACTTTTCAAAATATTTTCCTGTTTCTCTAAATCAGATATTTCAATCTTGACTTTTTCTTTAATCAAAAGTTCTCTCTTATTTATTAATCCATACTCGTTATTGAAGTCTGTAATCTCCTTGGTAAATCTTTCTTCCTCTTCTTTTATTTTTTTCTTCATAGTCTCCTGAAATGTAGAAATGAAACCTCATAAATGGAAGCTAATAATTCTTTTTTCCTTTAAGAATTTAAAGTACATTCAAATTACAATAAAAATTTTAAAAAGAGTTTCTCTGCCTTAAGTAATTTTTTTAAAGTTTTTTATCTAAATGTATTTAATTCCATTTTAATAAATGATCGTCTTAAAATTCTCTTGCTTGATCATTTTAAATAACATTTTTACACTTAAAATTCTAGAAAATGTTGTTTGCCACAGTTCTGCCACTGAAGGACGACATTTATTTGTGATTATAAAACCCTAGGCACAGATTTGGCTTCATAAATCTGGACAAGACCCTGAACTTCTCTGGGGAATAGAAAATATTAGAAAGTTCTATTGTTGTTTAGTTGTTTCGGTTGTATTCAACTCTTCGTGACCCCATTTGGGGTTTTCTTGGCAAAGATACTGGAGCAGCTTGCCATTTTTTTCTCCAGCTCATTTTACAGATGAGGAAACTGAGGCAAATAGGATTAAGTGACTTGCCTAGGGTCACATAACTATTAAGTGCCAGATTTGAACTCATGAAGATGAGTCTCCTGACTCCAGGCCTGGCGCTCTGTGCACTATGGCGCCACTTAGCACAGGAAGTTCTATTATATGCTCTCTGAAGTCTCTTCCAGCCCTAAAATTCTCATCTGCCATTTTGTCACTACTCTAAAAATATGTATAATAAAGTAATAAAAACAATTGAAAATGATCAACCAGAAGCATACCTGCCATACTGGTCCAACCATGGGCTTTCTGAAAATATGTCACACCACCAAAATAACATCTTTTTAAAAGGAAAAAAAATTTGTATAGGTATACAAAGAAAAATATACAAAACTACCTTACTCATGATATGTGAAAGTTTTCCATGTTTCTTTAAAATTCAATGAAGATTTTTTTTATTCACTTTTATTACCAAAGTTGTCTTCATCTTCATCATTTCTTTTTTATTCTTTAAGAGTATGATCATTTACTTCACCTAAGTCTGAGGGAAAATTATGGCCTTCACAGTACTTGCTGGAATTTCCACAAAAAATTTTAAAAGTTACCTTTTTAAAAGGAAAATAAAAAGACTCCTAAATATCTAAATAAAGCCTTGATAAATTTGGCTTCAGTTTCCTCATTTGTAAAACAGGAGGTTTGGTTGAGGTGATCTCTACTGTCTATATATCCTGGAGAGGAGAGTTTGAAGACACGTCCAGATCCTGTTTGTTCCCCTTATTATGTATTTCATCTTGGACAAATCCCTAAAGCTCTCATAACTTCAGTTCTCTTATCTCAGGGTTTTGAGTTAAGTGATCTCTCTGGTCATTTCTAGTTCTAAATTCTTTGAAACCAAATTCAACTCAATATAATTGGACAAACATTCATCCCATGCTTACTCTGTGCGGAGCACTGTGTTAGGTGCTGAGGATGCAAAGACAACACCAAGCAGAAAAAAAAAAGTCCCTTCCTTGAGGAGTTTATATTCTTTCATTCCAAACTCTTAGTTTCAAATAACACAGTTTAAATTCTATGAAATATCAATAGCTGATTTGTATTGGAAATTTGAATTTTAATAAAATATTAATCATGCAGGAACCTAAACATTAATATATTTCTGAAATGTATTTTAAGAGAAATAAAATATGGCCCACTTGCAGAAACTTGCACATTCTCCCTATTGATTTAAAACAAGTAAGGCTGTTGTTGGACCTTGTTTGCAAAAGGTAATTCAATTCAACCAACTATTTCTGAAGAATGTGCAAGGAAATGTTTACATAATGGGAAATACAAGGATGGGAAACAATGCTGTTCTTACCCTCAAGAAGGTTATAACCTAATAAGAGTGAAACATAAGTATTCAAATAAGGATAATATGAGGTAGAATATAATAAATATAGGGAGAGATAGAGATAGTTTTCTGACTTTTTGATGTATTCAAGTCAATTATTTGAGTGTTCTACCAAGTGTAAGGTATGGAGCTGATTTTAAGAGAAACAAAAAGATGAACAATAACCCTAATTTTCCTACTTCAAGGAGGAGGGATCTATGATTTTTATTTTATTCTTTTTTTTGCCAACTTTTGCCAACTTGCCAACTCAGGTTAAAAACTCTAAAAATCAAAAGGTAGTCATCAAGAATTGCAGTGCCTGTAAACTGTGGCATTGTGAGTCCATCCAGCTGATGAAAGTCTCCAAACTTAGCTGGGCTGGTGCTGAGAAAAGACAGCTTTTCACCAGGTCCATAATTTCAGCTGAAATTATAAACTGATCTTCCTAAAATACAGGTCTAACTATTTCACACCCTCTCTTCAATAAACTCCAGGGGCTTTGTTTTACTTCAAGGATCAAATATAAAATCTTCTGTTTCATTTTCAAAATCCTTCATAATCTGGTCCTTTCCTACCTTTCCAGTCTTGTCACATTTCACTCCCTTCTGTCTTCTCTATGAACCGTGCTTCTCCTCACACATGTCTCTCCATCTCCCGACTGATAATTTTCACTGGCTATCCTCCTCTCTGGAATTCTCCCCTTCCTTATCTCCTCCTCCTGGTTTCCCTGGCTTCCTTCAAGTCTCACCTATAGTACTGCTTCCTGTAAGGTCTGTGCTAGTATTCCTTAAGCTTAATGCTTTTCCTCTGATACTAGCCACATTTGATCCTGTATATATCTTATTGGCTCATAGTTGTTTCCTTGATTAGACTGTGAATTCCCTGAAAGTCAGGAACGTTTTTTGCCTTTCTCTGTATCCGTGGTGCCTGGCACATACTTTGTTGTTGTACAGTCTTTCAGTTGTATCTGACTCTTCATGACCCCATTTGAGGTTTTCTTGGCAAAGATACTGGAATGGTTTGGCATTTCCTTCTGCAGCTCATTTTACAGACGAGGAAACTGAGGCAAACAGGGTTAAATGACTTGCCCAAGGTCATACACAGCTAAGCTAGTAAGTGGCTGAGGCCACTTTTGAACTCAGGAAGATGAGTCTTTCTGATTCTTAGCCTGGTTCTCTATTGTCCTGCCTAGCTACCCCCTCTAGCACATAATAGGCATTTTTAATTTTTCTCATATTTATTTTATTTTTATTTTATGGAATAAAACAAGCATTTCCATAACACAATATAGTAAAAAAAAAAGACAATTGCACGTGAAACTGTAAATCTATTATGTACAACTTGCTATTCCTTTTAAATATATAATAATCATCATGCAAATTTCTTTTTTTTCTTTTTTGTTCCTTTTTTTCTTTACTCCCCTTCCCCCCTCCCCCAGCTCCAGGGATGGCTACCATTAGACACAAATAAGTACATATATATGTATATGTGTATATGTATATATATATAAATTAGTCTATGCACACCACTATTTATCAGTTCTTTCTCTGGATGCAAGATGCAGATAGCAGCTTTCTACACATGTCCTTTATAGTTAATCTGGTTATTTATAATAGTCAAAATGAGGGGCAGCTAGGTGGTGCAGTGGATAGAGCACCGGCTCTGAAGTCAGGAGGACCAGAGTTCATATCTGGCCTCAGACCAAACACTTGACACTTACTAGCTGTGTGACCCTGGGCAGGTCACTTAACCCCAATTGCCTAAAAAAGAAAAAAAAGATGCTGAAACAAAATTACTTACACCACTACTAGACCTATTTCCAAACAAAATAGGCATTTAATAAATGCTAGTTGACTTATTAACTAGTTTAGTTGTTCCTGCCAGATCTTGTGCTCTGATGTCACAGACATCAAGACTCCAGGGTTACTTCTTTTTTTTTTTAGTTAATAAATTTACTTATTTTTAATTTTCAACATTTACTTCCACAAGATTTTGAGTTCCAAATTTTCACCCCATCTCACCCCTCCCCCCACCCCAAGATGGCATGCATTCTGAATACCCCTTCCCCTAGTCTGCTTTCCCTGCTATCTCTCTCTGCCTTACCCTTCTATTTTCCTGTAGGGCATGATAGATTTCTTTACCCCATTTCCTGTATTTCTTATTTCCCAGTTGCATGTGAAAACATTTTTTTTAAACATGTGTTTTTAAAAACAATTTTGGGGTCCAAATTTTCTCCCTCCCTCCCTCCCCACCCACCCTCATTGAGAAGGCAAACAATTCAATACAGGTTATACGTGTGTAGTCATACAAAACACTTCCATAGTAGACATGCTGTGAAAAACTAACTCTATTTCCCTTAATCCTATCCCACCCACCCCCCATTTGTTCTATTCTTTCTTTTGACCCTGTCCCTCCTCAGAAGTATTTGCTTCTGAATACCCCCTTTCCCAATCTGCCCTCCTCTCTATCATCCCCCTACTCTCTTGTCCCCTTCCCCTCCTATTTTCCTGTAGGGTAAGACAGATTTCCATACCCAATTGAGTGTGTATGTTATTACCTCCTTAAGTCAAATCCTATCAGAATAAGATTCACTCATTCCCTCTTACCTTCCCCCATTTCCCCTCCCCTGTAAGAGCCTTTGTTTTTTGGAGGTTTTTTTTGCAAGATAATTTACCCCATTCTACCTTTCCCTTTCTCCTCCTAGTATAATCCTCTCTCACCCCTTAATTTTATTCTCCAGATATGACCCCTTCATCTTCAACTCACCCTGTGCCCTCTATCTATCTATCTATCTATCTATCTATCTATCTATCTATCTATCTATCTATCTATCTAT